TATTTTATACTAAAATAAGCGCCAAGAAGAGTTTCTTATTTTAAGAGGAAAATCCTCTAAATAGTAATATTGATAAGAATATATACTGATTAGAATATAAAAAGCCTCTATAGAAAAACATATATATCTCACTATCAAAAAAGATTATATTCTTAAATAAAGAATATATTCTTAATTTCAGAAGAATATCATCTAAAATCTTTAAGAAGATTTTTTAAGTATAAAATCTTCTACTTACGAGAATATAATTTTTTCGGTGTAGCAATGTTCAAATTCCAAAATATGGAAGATTTAAGTTTCAATTTTTAACATGGATTTCCTATGCCGAGCCTTTGTGAAGTGGGGTTTTTTAAAGTTACTGACGACAATTTTTGTAGGATTTTTTTCAAAAAACAAGTATGTGATAGCGGAGAGTGTCTTAATTAAAATACGATTTTGAATAATATGGCAAGCAACCCTTGTTTTCAAACTGTAGCTTTTTTTTTGTTTTGTTTGGGGAGTTTTTTTTTTGTTTTGCTGGATTTATGTGCGCTGTGTACTGCAGCTATTTTTGAACTTCTGCGCAGAGTAAGCGGGTCTTGGCAGTGCTGAATAGCTCAACTCAACTTTGTTACAGCAGTAACAAACTTACTCATGAGAAGAGATATTTTAGGTTGCTAACCACTGTATTTAGGTTGCTAACCACTGTAGTCGGAGAACGTCCTTAACACACACAAGTTGACTTTTTTGCGGGGTCAAAAATTGACGAAATGCGAAATGATAACGTTGTCCGATATATCTTTGTTTTTGCTAAGAAGTCATCGCCTTCTCAATTACGCAAGAGCGCACGCAAAAGTTGTGACAAATTTGTGATAAAAAAGATCTCAATTCTGGGTCACGGTGTGCAAAGTTCGATATTCGTTATTAAAATTAGAGTATGTTGCGGAAAAAAAAAAACAGTCGCTTGATAAAAACCGCCGTTGATGGAATAAATCGGGCGTACGCGTAATGCTTAAGCGTGCGGAAACAAATCGATAGTCCCGTGGTCGGGGGCCATGCGTGCAACCGTGCACGCATGTAGAGAGACTGCGTGGGACCTGCCGGTCGGCCCCGCCCTTTGCCGACCAGATATCATTACTCATTACGCGCGCTGTGTGCGCGCGTTGTTTATGCGTTCCCCCTTTCTCGATTAAAGGGCCGCGGAGAATCCGCGAGCACATATATCGCGTCTCTCCTTCCCCTCGTTCTTTGCGATCTTTCGCTGCACGCTGCAGATGCACCGAAATGATAAAACATGCGTCTGTTAGATGAATGGTCTCTCCGCGATCCCTGTTTTTTTTTTCTTTTCCTTTCGATTGAACGTGCCCACAGCCACCGAAGCGATATTTCCGGTTATTCGTCTATCTTTCGACCCTTTATCGACAAAACCAATTTAAGAGACTGATTAAAAAGCCTCTCCTCTCCATAGTTAGCAGAAAAAAACAATGAAAATAGAGTTTTGGTCAAATTTCTCTGTTTGAAAATAGTCTCGGCCAAATTTCTCTGTTAACATAGAAATCTGTCTGTACGACTCTATCAAATAAAGAAAACAAAGATAGACGGACGAGAAATGCGGTGCTGTTAATATCAATTTCTCGGACGTATGTGTTAATGGTAAGTATTATTTATAAACTGAACGTTCGCGCGGCGCGAATCTTCATTGGCAATCGAGATCGGTGAAGACACCGTTTTTTTTCTACGTATAGATATATCTCCGGTGAAATCTACGAAACGCGCAGATTTACGCGGGACGAGACGTATGCCACACGTAAGAGAAAATAATACTACGCAAGAGAGCGACACAATAATTTTATATCGTTTCTTCTCCCCTCGACTTCGGCGGCGCAAATCGACATATGCACCTGCCAGTCGAGAGCGAACCAGATTATTCGCTTAAGTTAACCGCAGGTATCACCAGTCACACCTGATGCGTGTGTCCACTGAGAGATACACTGGGTGCTCTTTTCGTGTCCACCTTTTTGTTCCCCCGACTCTTTTTCCTTGTGTGTGTCACGCGTGTCTGAAAAGATTGTGATATATGCTATCAGTCGAAGAGATCAAAACGGTCGGCAAGACCTCTCTCGCTGCATTTGCGTTGCAGGAAAAGAAGCAATGTAGCGGAATGACGCGCTTGGAACTGCGGTCGCGCGCTGGTGTCGGTTTAGAATGCGATACGTGGGCGAAGAGCTCGTTTCAGCCGGTCGTTTCAAGATTTGACACGCTTAAAAGGATCGGGAGAAAGCAAACGAAAATTTCAAGACTCTAGACATTTACGAAGACAATGAGAGAAAAACCTTTACATGAAAATGTTTTTGTTCTCTTTTCTTCGATCATATTTTTAAAAAATGTAAATTTTTATGTTACAAAATGTATATCGTTGACAAAATAAATTGAGTTATTCAAGTTATTGTGTATAATAAATATTTTATCGTCCTTGTTTTACCACAACAAAATTAAATTTCCACATAAAGAAGAAATATAAATCAGATGATAAATAACTAAATATTTTTTTTACATGAGTAGCGGAAATTTGATAGAACAAAACGAAAATAGAACGAGAACAATAGCTCACGTGTTAGAAAATTATACATATCTGTCATACGAGGTCAATCATTTGTAAACAGCGTGTAGCGGTACCACATTCGCGTATTAACATTCTTTTGTATTTCCCCACAATGTAACGCAAATGTAAACGTCTCGCGCTTCGAATCTCCATTCGACGCCTACATCCACGCCGGTAATGGCATAAGTTATGGGAAAGAGGGGGGCACTTGTGTGTTCCTTGAAATACCTAATCCCCCTGTAAATCACACATCGAATTTGCCAGACGCTTGCGCAAGTCTAATCGGTCATTTCACACCGCCCGAGGAGTGTTATGGAGATTGTAAATTGCGCAAGTGCCGCAACACTTGAAGTACTACTGACAGATACAATTAGATAATTATATTCGAATATAAAAGTACACAAAATCTTCTTTGTGTCGTTACTTATTACCAAAATGGCATATACTGAAAAAAAAGAAAACTAGAAATATAAATATAAATCAAAATGTTAGCTACAACTCTTTTTCAAGTATGAAACATTTTAACAAATTTACACAAAATATTCCGCACGTACATCCATTGCTTGACCCGTATTGGTGGTCTATTTCTCTTGGATAAATAAAATATCTTCTAAAATATATACTAAAATATATACTAATGGAATATATTCTTTAAAATATATTTGTCTCACAATATAGAAATTTACATGTTTATCGTTGCATTTCTTTCCTTTCCAAAATGCATGTTTCCGCCCACTGATGCGGTTATACAAATCTTTACCAGGTTAAAAAAAACCGATCTACATTAAAGATGTATTTTTTAATGTACGTTTGTGACTCTCCTTTCTCTTCTCTTTCATCCTTCTTCTTTTGGTCTGCCTACTTGTACAATACCACCGACTAAATAATTGACTGTACAATTCTTAGAATCTTTGCTAGGTAAGACTCTTGTAGACAGTTCATCTTCACTATCGTCGTTAGTCCATGTTCCTATATTTAAAAAAAAAAAATGACGATAAATCAATTATATCTTCACGCACATATTATAAAATCTCCATGTTGTGTCATATATTCAAAAATATACTTCGATCATACTAAAACAATAAAATTAAAAAAATAAAAAGTATACGTACGTAACATCTGTTGTCTCCTCGAGAGTTGAGGACAGGTTGTGAATTCATCTAAATCGTAATCAGTAATTTCAAAGCTCTCCATTTTGTTATTATATCACAATACGCTTTGTATCGTAGCTTTGTATAATAAGCAAACGCAGGTAACCTCAAAAACGTCTCAATTAAAATATAATAAACGTAGTATACATAGATAACATGTCATGTTGAATAGCGATACTAGCGCCTTCTACTCAAGCGAGGTAGAAGGTAGAACTATGCCAAAGCGCGGTAACATTCAACATGTATGTACAGCAGAATTCACGTGCGTCGTCGGGACCGATTAAATTGCATAATTCAAACTTCACTTGTAAAATGTGCCGTAAAATATGTGTGAGATGAGGAAATATATTTCCTATTGTCTTTTCATCTATGCCGCCGGTGCTTTGTCTCACTCATTGTGGTCACTTTTATGACTTTATTTAAAAAAACCAAAAATATATACACGTGTTTTTCTACTAGAATTTCTTTTTTTAACTTTTTTTAAATTTTTTTATCGATAACAAACTTGTGAAACGATAAATGCTGAATATACATAACATAAACACGCGAAAAAGTTGTATTGCGAGTGACATTGAAAAGACGTTAGTGACGTTAGCGAAAACGATTCATTTGGGATTAAGAAGTCACTTTCGTACAGATAAGAGATAATGATATACTGGCTTGTCTAAAATTCTTGACGTAAGCGGAATAAACGGAAAAGTTTACAATAACGTAAGCGCGAGATCAGTTAATGGAAATGCGATGTTTCACATTAAAAAAAAAGTGTTAGAAAAATAAATATCAACGATTTTAGTATTTTAATTGTTTCACCATATTTTTCAAGAATTGATGAAAAAACAACACCAGACAATTTATCTAAAATTTGTAAAATGTACGTGTGAGTTACAAGCATTTTTTTTTTAAATAAATAAGACTGTTTCAGACAAACAAAGATATAAACAAATAATGTTACGTTTGTGTAAATGATAGAAAAGCGTATCGCATGACACACATAAACCTGATGGTTTTATGAAATATTCGAGAAGAAATATCTGGAAAAATAGCCAAAAAGTTGACAAATATAATTGCCAAGTATGTGTGTGTGTGATTAAATAATAATAAAAAAATTAAATCTTTGCAAAAAATGTGATTAAATTTACTCGATAACGCGCGCGCGGAGTATTACGTTTTCAGAAAGTTTTCCTATCAGCAAAATCTACGAACGGGAACAGTCGACAGATAATAGATATCTGCGACGAGACGCTGTCATCAAAAGTACCGCGCTCAGTTCGTACGCGACGTTCAATCGCGGATGACGGTTCGACGATCGATTCGACAATTTCTCCCTTCGCGGTGTTAGACGTCTCTAATTCGGCACGTCCGTCAGCGCTCGTACTCACAAACCGAAGCAATCAATGTCAATCGGTCACCTTGCGTAATCACCGCGCGCACATGTTTCTCTCTTAAAATTACAAAAACATTCGCGTTCTTTCTCAAACAATCAACAATACCAGATAAGTTTCGCACGTGCTAAATTTGTAAACAGTTCATCATTCAGCACGCGTCGAAGCAATTCGTCATTTTGATCGCAACAATCGAAAATCAAATTTAACTCACCGAAATAGTCAATTATTGCGACGTGTTGCGGTCGCGAAAAACTCGAGTGCGTAAAATAAAAACAAAAGTACAAAAAAAAAAGTGTTCGATTGCGCATCGAACTGACGGCGCAGCGCGTTGATTGATCGAAGATTGAAACGTAACCGCGCAAACGTGTATGTTTTAAGCACGCAAAAGAGTGTGTGTGTGTGCGATAATTTAATTGCTCCTTTTAATCTAATTATAATTATAATTGAAAATTGAACTCTCTGTGATATATATATTTTGAATTAAATTGTAATTTCAACGATAGCAATCGGCAACGTGTCGAGCGTGATAAAATCGTTCTCTCGGTGTTAAACGAAAAAAAAAAAATAATCAAACGTGAAACGCGTTCAGTTTCTTTGTCTACCAGCGAAGAAACAAACACGCGTCTTTTTTTTTTTTTTATTTTTTTTTTATTTGGCATCTCGGCATTCGATTTGCGCGCTTCGAGAGAAGGATTGCTCTCAAAGGAGCAATATCAACCGTCGCACTCATCCGAGTGAATTCAGAATGCAATTACCTGCGAGACGTATAGTCTTCGAATTCGATCGGAGAGCTAAAGTTGTATGACTGGACTACTATTTCATTCGCTTCGGGGGTACGTGATCTCGCCTCTTGGGAGGCATTCTATTAAATATAAGCGCTCTCGTCGCAAAAAAAAGGAACGCGACGCGTTATAAAATAATTGTCAGCGAAAGAAGGTTTATATTGACTTGACTTGATTGTCGAGATAGTCGAGTCGGTGTTTGCGCGCGCGCGATATATACGCGAGACATGGTATCAGAATGCGCGGAAAACTGGGACGAATGCGAGTCGAGCAACCTTACGGAGGCCGAATATCTAAACAGAGTGCTTGGACCCAAATATCTGCCGCAGAAGTTAGTGATACCGCTCACGATAGTCTACGTGGTGATATTCATCACCGGCATCTTCGGCAATGTCGCCACGTGCACGGTCATCGCCCGGAACACGTCCATGCGGACCACAACCAATTATTACCTCTTCAGTCTGGCCATATCCGACCTCACTCTACTTGTGCTGGGTGAGCAATTAAAAAAAAAAAAGCAGCAGCATCGCTATTATATCGATCGTCTTTATAAATTACGCAGTTATTTTTAACGCAGTCTGAACTTTAGCAATTAATTTATTTTGCCGTTATTACGCCTCATTTCTCTTTGATCTTTAATTCTGTGAAAATTCACGGTGCTCCTGTTTCAATCAGAAATCAATACACGAGGAGCATCATCATATCGACGCACTAAATCGCGATGTTACTTCGATCTCTGGCAGATTTTTTTATTCGTCGATAATGCGATTTTGATAATTAGAATAAAAAATGATCGATAACGATAATCGGTTCGGTTACAACAGGTTTCACATTTGGTTGTAACACAGAATAATACACCCGGCTGTGTCACTTGAAAATCCGTTTGTAATTAATTTACTGTTTTTTTACTTTACAAGGCGCAAAAAAGTGTCAGTAATAAATAACGAATTTCGTCGAAGAGAAACAAATTGCTTCGGATTTAAAGCTAGATAGATCGACAAAAACCAAATGAGTATCTTTAACACGACGGCGAGTAAAAACAAGAATTACTCGCGTAAATTTTTACCTGTTTTTTAATTACTTTTACATTTTTTTTTTCGTTTTAGCAACTTTTTATTTGTCCGTTACGTGTGCAAAAATATGGAGAAAAAACGCGTATATAATATTGAATAAATATAAATATATTATTTTCAAACTGCTAAAGTAGCACTAGAAAAATAAAAGAACTCTGATTGCAATTAAAGACTGCTGAGAACTGAAAAAAAAAAAGAATGATTTCAATTAACTATATATGTACTTCTAATATTTTTTCCTTCACATAAGATGTTTGCGACTTTTTGTTGTAATTGTTGTTCTTATTTGTTCGCGACACAAAAAGTTGTTTCTAAAAATATGAAAACACATGATGCAAACATTTCGAGACAAAAAAAAAACTCGAACAATTTTCCTCCTCTCTTCGTGATAAATGCAATCAATTATTGTTTGTTATCTGTATTATCGCAAAACATGATTACGATTACTTGACACGAGACGCTCGCCTGCGTACCGCGCATTGACGTAGATACGAAGATACGAAGCTTGAAATTAATCTCTGTTTTACGTCTACGGCAGCAATTGTTATCTTCGTAGTGTACTTTGTTTACCAATGGCGACAACAATCTTTTGTATTTACCTCGTTTCGAGGAATTCACGAAACTGAAAATTTCCTCTAAATGTGCTCAACAAATTAAACTCTCAAATATCTAACTCGACATAAGATTTTGAAAAGTTTTGCTGATAAAGTAAACTCACACAAATCGAAATCGATCCGAGCTCGAGAACAAAGAAGTCAATTGTTCTCCTTATCTCTAAAGTTTCGATTATTTATAACTTGTCAGTCGAGAGTGTGTAAAATCACGATTACAATGAAAATCGAAAAGCTTTCATTTAACCCTTTCGCTACGATTGAACCGATCGTGGTGCTGTACAGATATATGTGTACTCTTCTTCGCAATGCGAATTAACGACATTAAGTAATAAATATAAAAACATCTAAAAACATTTCCGTAACGGCTTTTAGTGCGAGATAAAGAAGAGATCCACTATAGTGGCAATTTGTTCTGAAAGATCATTTTTAGCGGAAAGCCACTATAGTGGCGCGTAGAGCTTAAAGGGTTAAAAAAGCTTTTTGTGTTCAACGCTGAAAGAAGAGGCCGGACTTTACGAGGGCTTTGGTGTCGATTGCAGAGCTTTAAAAGATGAACAGGCGGACGCAGATTACGCGTCACGCGATTACCGAGTAGCTATTATATTTTTTAGACTGGAAAAGCGTCGTGACACACATACACGTTAAAGTCGACGCGCTTCGAAAAACGAAAAAAAACAAAATCGGAAAAAATATCAGAATATCGTTTTACATTTTTCCGCGTATATGTGAACAATTCTCACAAGATACATAATCATCTCTTAATTAATTATTTCAGGTCTTCCCAATGAGTTGAGTGTTTTCTGGCAGCAATATCCGTGGATGATGGGCGCGGAACTTTGCAAAATTCGGGCATACGTGTCGGAGATGTAAGAAAAGTCTCTTAGTCTTGCCTTTTTAATACCATTCCATTGAAATTCGGCGCGCTTGATCTTAGGCAATATTTATAATCTTTGCAGGTCATCTTACGTGTCAGTTCTCACAATCATGGCTTTTTCCATCGAGAGATATTTGGCTATCTGTCACCCGCTTCGCGTCTATTCGATGAGCGGTCTGAAAAGATCTACTTGCTTCATTCTCGCGGCCTGGTCGATCGCGATCGTCTCGGCGATACCGTTCGCGATTTACACCAAGGTCCACTTCGTTGAGTATCCACAAGGTTGAGCCAACACATGTGTTTTTTTTCTTTAAACCAACACACACACACACACACACACATGCTTTGTTTTTAGAAAAAATATACACACACACGCAACTTTTTTTACATACTTTTTATTTATATATGTGTGATATCAAATTGTCACTTTAGGATCGGGAAATTTTTCGGCCGATTCAGCGATCTGCGCGATGCTTCTGTCCAACATGCCGAATTATCCGCTTCACGAGCTCAGTTGTGTTTTGTTCTTTCTGATACCGATGCTCGTGATACTGATATTGTACACAAGAATGGGATTTAAAATTAAGAAAAGCACTGAGAACGCGCTTGATAAGATACAGGGCGCTGTTCATGGCGATTATCGACAAATCGAATCCAGAAAATCTGTTATCAGAATGTTGAGTACGTTACAGTTTCTATTTATTTTTCTCTTATAAAGAGCATTTCGCGCGAGCAAATGAACGAGTGTAATTTACAGATATCAGATTAACTTAAAACTAATTTTTACTTAAGTTTTGTCTTCCTAAGAAACGTGTAAATTTGTTTTTCAGGCGCAGTTGTCGTCATGTTTTTCCTGTGCTGGGCTCCATTTCACGCTCAACGACTTCTTTATATCTACGCCCAGGACTTCTCTCATTACGTGGACTTGAACGAATGGCTTTACATTTTTAGCGGCTGTCTTTATTACTTCAACAGCACCGTCAATCCAATTCTCTACAATTTGATGAGCATGAAGTACCGCAAGGCATTCAGACGAACTCTGTGTCGCAGAAATAAAAAGCCAGCGAATAGATTATCAAATAAGGAATTGAACAAAGCTTGCAATCGACAAATTACATGTTCTGTTAGGTATGGATGAAAATTTTTAACGATTTATCATCTCATAAAAACCATAAAAATGCAATATTTCTAAAAGCTTCATACATTATTAAAAAAAAAAAAATGTTTAATTTTAATAACGTTATCATTTTTTAATAAAATATTAAAAATACTATTCTTTCCTATCTCTTTTCAAAGAGAGATTTGTTGTTTTTTTGTTCGTGTTCACACGTAATGTATACCGCATCTGTAATGAGTCTGCATTTTCTTTTTAGACATACCATCGCTCAGGCCAAAGAGATGTTTTGTTTTACATCGAGCGGAGAGGAAAATATGAGGAGTAACAATAGAAATGATAGAATAACGAGTTTTTCTCAAAATGCTTGCTTATTACAAAGGGAGAATTCATCCTCGGAACCTGTCTTTGTAAAACAGCATTTCCCTGTCCGTTCCCAACTTAGTAACGAAAGCACGACGTCCACAAGAAGATCAGATGATACTGTTTCCATAACTAGAAGCAGTCTGTAATTTTTAGCTTTTTTTTGTTTTTTTTTTACTCTTCCATTTTTAATCAAATGTAACGTAGAACGTTGTAAATATTATTATTACGTATAATTCTAATTATATAAATATTGATCGAAATTGTGTATAAATCATATGAAAATTTTTCACGACATTGCAACCAATTGCGTAATTAAAATTAATAAGATGATATTATCAATTAATGCGAAAAAAAATTTTATACGATTTATAAAACAATAAATAGAAATTTTTTATTCTGGTCCAACAATATTTTCCATCAACTCTCTGATGTGAATATATTTTCGCATGTAAATACGGCAACGTGAAGTGTATTTTAATAATGAGTTATGTTTTGTGAAAAAACATATGTGTGCATTTTACTTTGATAAAAATCAAGCTCTCCAGGTTGTCCCATCACTGACATTATTAATCTATTTCTGATCGATTTTCAATACGCTATATATTATACAAGGTATTTTTCGTCATTTTCGCGGTTTCCAATATAAGAGATTTATAAGAAAACATTTTGAAAAGAAAACTTGAATACAAGACATTTTTCGCTTATTTTTGTTTTGTTGGCTGAGAAAAGCGTAACAAATTTCAGATCACAAGTTTTTCTGACATCGCCGATAAATTCTAGTGTGTAAAGTGCAAAATAACGTAACCTAATACGTTTGCGTTTCAATTAATGAGTCGCGAAAGCGTCATAATGGACAAAAGACTCACCGGTTTGTAGCGAAGCATTTCTATAAACGATTCGATGATTTATGGCAAAAAAAAAAATGATGGTCCGCTCGATCTATCTTTATTTACAGACGAATCGCTTCTCAGGCTCGCGTCTCGTGTAAAATTTCTCACTTAAGCGGATAAAAACACAAAAAAAAAAAAAAAAAAATGAGGAAACGTTTATCCGAAGCTTTGCCACCTTATCGTTATCGCGACGAGCATTAATCGCGCGGACGCAATGAAGAAGTAAGAACGTGTGAGCGCGAGTTGTCTGACAAAAAGAGGTTTTATTAATTGCTCGTTTTATGTATTCCAGTGTGTGCTCAACGATCATCCCCGTTTTTGTTCGCATTCATTCATTCGGTGGCGAATACAAACGCCACGTTGCAACGTCTGCTCAAAAAAAGTAACGAATTCAATCATGTGACAGAGGTTGTATCAATGACGAGAGTTAATGGTACGTTAGAGTCCCCGAATGAAAATGTGGTGAATCGATAACGTGTCTCTCGCTTGTGCGTAAACGTTTTGGATTCAAAAGATAGATACTGCTTTGCATAATTACGGACCCGAGTTAATAAACGATTCGTTCAATTTGTCGACTTGGAAAATTGAAATTCCACATAGCGCGTTATTACGTTAATCCGAAACTCGATTTCCAAAATTTGTCCCAAACGGTATGTAGGTCGTATTAATATGTACGTATACACTTGTGTGATAAATCTCTCAAGGTACGCGCGGAGAATTTCAAAAACGATGCTTTAGCGAGAATGTTTTCGCGAGCGTTCTAGCGAAGAAAAAGAAAAATACATCTATTTCTCTCAAACGGTTTAACGTTACACACAAAGCTCTTTCAAATTGCTGCGATACCTGTTTTTTTTTTTTTTTTGCTTTTACCTTTCTTTCTTCTAAAAAAATCGCGACTTTATTCGATTTCGATCGCTACATTGAGCAAAGTATGAGTTTCCGCGGAAGCTCGCGGTGGCGATAAAACGTTATCGATCTATTGCAGCTCGCGTTTTACTGTTACTTGCTCGGCGTGATACTTCTGCTGGCAGATTCTTATGCAACAAAATTGCCGCGTACGAGTACGTACCACGTTTTTCATCGATATCAAGCGCATTTGCCAAAAGAAGCGATGGCGTTGCGAGCACGTGGCAGAAGAACGTCCGATCTGTCGCAAGGAGCATCGAGACATCGTCGCAAGGACGTGATTCACTTTCTAATTGACAAAACAATTCCGCAATGTAGCCGGATGTAGCGTCGTTGATGGTACAAGCTCGCTTTTTTTGTTTTCGCGGATAATAATGTCTATATATTCGATAAAAAAATATCGCACATGTATTATTAATCATTGTATCTTCAGGTCACGACATCTGAAATGCATTTTTTTTTTTTTTTTTGAAACGGTGAAATCAATAAAACAAAATTAGAGAAAAAATATTGTTTCCGATAAAATCACTTCGCTATTAATCAATGAAAAATGATCGTGTGTGCCCCAGCGCAACAAGTTTAGAACCGATTGATGCGACTATTTCAGACACGCGCGACAGAATTTACAAAGTAAACCCGAAATGTCAACAAGTTGATTAAAGGTGAGAGCCGCCATATAATTTCTTTTCATCAATCTTTAATCTCAAATCTCATTTTCAAGCTATTCAGTTTTTAAAAAACTGTGTGTGTGTGTGTGTGTGTGTTCCACTTGTTTTCTCAGTTCTCTCAAGACGAACCGCCCACTTTATTTTTGCTAAAACAATACGCATCGAGTATTCCGGTTTTTTTTTCGAAGTATAATAGGGATCGTGTCGAGCTGGTGGCGCGACATGCTCCTTCGACGGGGTTGGAAGTGTGGTGGATGGAGCGTCTGGCCCGAGAGCGAACACAGGCCGTCACTTGTCCGCGGTCTGTCGACAGAAGCACTTTTCACCCCCGTTTGTTCCGTTGCGTTGAGAACGCAATAATGAGAATCAGCGACATGATCTCGTTTTCGAAAAACTAAACGATCACACAACAGAGTCAGTTTTGAGTGAACACGCGCGAGACCTTACTCGATTCGACGTGTGTTGAGAGAATCGAATTGGAAGATTGCAAGAGCTTCTGTGAGAGTGATAAAAGAATTTTTTATCGCGAAACGAGAGAATAATTTGATAAGTGAGAAACGCGTCGCAATCGCAGCGACACAAGGAAGTGATTGATCTATCTCATTATAAACGTGTACACATTTGTAAACTATGCAAATACTGGAAGGTAATCTTATCGCCTTCGACATCGACAGTCTGGAAAATCTAAATCTAAGCGAGTCCGAATACATAACGAAGTACATGGGTGATAAATATCGGCCGATGTCATTTTTGTTGCCGATCACCTTCGCTTACATGACAATTTTTGTTACCGGTATAATAGGAAATATTCTCACCTGCATTATTATGAGAAAACTATCGACCACGCAAACTCCGACGAACTATTATTTGTTCAATCTTGCTGTGTCCGATCTGCTACTTTTAATTCTTGGTGAGCGGATTATTATTTCGTTGATGAATTGTATATTTCAATTAGAGACAAAGTTTGTTTAATATTTTACATAGAAATTACAGTCAAACTCTCTGTATTGTTTTTTATTTTTTCTTTCCATTTCTTTGGCAACAATTAAGCGCATTAAAATAAATATGTCACAAAGATATTTCTCACTCTGCGCATGTGCGATCACGAGAAAAAAAAAATATATAATAGCAATCAACTGCACGGGGGGACAAATTAACTTTAGAGAGAAAAAAAAACTCACACAACAGGGAAAAACTAACAATACAGGAGTTCGACTGTGATTGCAAAATATAAGACTTATTGGTATGTAAAATGTTCACAATTCGTTTTTTCTGAAAAATGCACACAGATATACATGCCAATCTTAACTTACATCAAGAACACATGTTTTTGGAGAAACATAAATTTTTCGGATAAAGATGAATCATTCATCTTCTTGCATTTCAACAGTATATACATGTGTGTGCGTGTAAAACTATAAAAATCTATTAAAAATGAGACTGATGAATGTTATTCATTCACACTCAGAAGACGGTCGCAGTATATAATCCTGTTTATTATATTGCGTTTTGAACAGAAATGTCTCGCGATTAATCAAGCAGCATTTTTCTTGCGTGTTTTAGAAAGGGAAATAAAGTATACAATTTTTCACAGATGATGCTTGGTATCAGTCAAGTTGTTTCTTGGTGTAAATAAAATCAGACGCGCAATCTTCGATAAAATATCTTCTCTCGTCTCGTTCTCTTTCACAGTTTCCCCGACGCGAGATGTGTGCACTTTAAACAATCTGTCAGGAGAGATTACAAGCTTGATTAACAATAATATAAAACAAATCCCCTGTTGTTTTGACGCTACGAGCAAAATAAGACTTAGGCTATTATTTTAGTCGGTATGCTTAAAAATTATTGCTTTTTATATATAACAAATGTATACGCGAGGTTCTCGGAAAATATTTTTTTATTATTTATTTTCATTTTTCGTTGACTTCTTAATCGCGGGACTTTGTCATCGATATTTGTGCTTCACAAATCCTGTAACGTCCCGTAAAATGCGTGACGGTATGAAAAATGGAAGCTTTGCGTCGACACGTAATATAATCACGAACAATATCTGTCAGTCTTGTGCAATATAATTCATGACAGTACATTTTTAGAGTAATTACTTAATATCAAAAAATAAAGAACAAAGGGGAAGATTAATTGGGTCAAATTACTTTTCATTTCCGACTTTCTCGTTCTCCTACAACGCGCGCGTTGTACACAGGGTTTATTGTCTTCTCTCTTTACGCGCACTCTACGCGCGCGTTATTTATTTTAGCATTATATGTAAATATTTCACATACACGCAATATCGAAATATACACATTTGATACAACAACAGCTCGAGCAAAAAGAAAAGAACCAGAATCGGTATTGCGGTAAACTAGTAGCAACAATAAAATCTCGACACGCGCTTTTTTTTGAGAGAAAAATATTTTTTGTTCGCAGGAGTGCCCAACGAATTGATGATATTCTGGGAGAAATATCCGTGGACGCTCGGACTGAGTATTTGCAAATTACGAGCGTACGTGTCGGAAACGTAAGTTCGGTCGATATTAAAAAATATATTATTAAATATAAAATAAAATAAAAGGTGATGTGTGTGTAAAATCGCGAATCGTACAATTCAACTGTTTGTTTGTTTTTTTTTTTTTTTTTTATTTTCACACACTTCTTTTGAAGCGCTAACTTTTATGCGTTTGTTTTTAAGGTCGTCTTACGTGTCGGTGTTAATGATAGTCACTTTCTCACTAGAAAGGTACCTAGCGATATGCCATCCCTTTCAGTTGTACGCGAAGAGCGGGATGAAACGACCTGTAAGATTTATCGTTAGCGCCTGGTTGCTGGCTCTCGTGTGTGCGCTACCTTTCGGGATTTACACGACCGTTAATTATTTAGAATATCCCGCACGTGAGTGTTCTGCTATCTTTTTATCGAATAATCAATCTTGAATCTTATTTTTTGTTTTGTTTGGAACACATATATGGCGTAAACAGTTTCAAAATTGTTTATCTGGAGCGCGAAACATTTTGCGTTTACATTTTTATTCGCAGAATCCGGTCGTCCTTCCGAAAAATCGGCTTTTTGCGCCATGTTGTTGCACAGCATTCCTGTATTTCCGCTGTACGAGCTAAGCTGTTTCATGTTCTTTCTCGTGCCGATGGTGTACATCGCGGTGGTCTACGTGAAGATCAGTTTGCGAATAAGACGTAACAATTTGAAGCACAATAACGTCAATAGTTCTGTTCACGGCGACAGGCACGCTCAAACACGAAAAGCCGTTCGATTGCTAAGTAAGTTTCCATCCTTCCCGAAGATATCGGGCACGTAACACGATGTCTTGTGTATTTCTTTTTACTCTCAATATTCTTTAATAAAGCATTTTATTGCGAGAGACAAACAATTAACAAAGTTTGCCGGCGCAAAAACGGAAAATAGTTTAAAAACAATTGCTTCAATGTCATTTTGCGTTAATCGCAAAAATCGATCAATTGCACAAGAAGATGCGATAGCGCGCGATGCGGCGTTCTATATATTTCTCGTTTTCTTTGGAAAGAAATAAAAGTATCATTAATCGCATTTCACAAGAGAATTTTCTTATCTCGGATTCCAGATGTCTTAAATTCGTTGTCGAATAAATGTTTGAGCAGAAAACTATACATAGTATCGTACCTCTTCTAAAAGATTAAATCTGAATAATTAATAAAAACCGCATTAAAATATGAGTCTCTTGTGCGCAGACACGTTTCGGAATAACAACGTTTTGGGACGATTCCAGAGAAACAGATTAACAGAAAAGAAATAAATCCAATATCACTTACTTCCAGGTGCGGTAGTGATAGCGTTTTTTATGTGCTGGGCGCCGTTTCACATCCAACGCATACTGTACGTGTATCAAATACCGCTACTTGAGGAAATCGACGAATGGCTATTTCCAATAGCCGGGCTTCTTTATTATTTTAGCTGTACAGTAAATCCGATTCTATACTGCATCATGAGCAAGAAGTATAGGACCGAGTTCAAACGGATACTCGGATGCTCGGAGATACCGATCAATATGGAAACACATCTTTAGGTGAGCAAACGATAAATTTATATGCGCGAATATACACATATATAAACACACTTGTGTAAGCGCCTGAAAAAGAATTCTGTTTGAATATTTCTTTCTTTGCCGAATGGCTTGATATGTGTTGTCTTGTAGCTAATGCCCTTATCTGTTTATTATTGTATAATTCCCTTGAGAAAGGTCGTATCGCATCATCTCTAGGAACACATGTTATTGTATCGTGCATGATTTTGCACCGAAAAAATTATATTCTTGTAAGTAGAAGATTTTATACTTAAAAAATCTTCTTAAAGATTTTAGATGATATTCTTCTGAAATTAAGAATATATTCTTTATTTAAGAATATATTCTTAATTTAAGAATATAGTCTTTTTCGATAGTGAGATATATATGTGTTTCTATATAAAGGCTTTTTATATTCTAATCAGTATATACACAGTTTGTCCGGAAAGTTCCCGGACTACGTGAATTAAAAATCGAAAATGAAAGATATGGTTTATTAAACAAGTTTACACTTCA